AAGTAAGGAAGCAAGTAAGGAAGCAAGTAAGGAAGCAAGTAAGGAAGTAAGTAAGGAAGTAAGTAAGGAAGTAACGTAAGTAAGTAACGTAAGTAAGTAACGTAACGTAACGTAAAGTAACGTAAAGTAAAGTAACATAAAGTAAAGTAACATAAAGTAAAGTAAAGTAACGCAAAGTAAAGTAACGTAAAGTAAAGTAACGTAAAGTAAAGTAACATAAAGTACAGTAAAGTAAAGTAAGTAAAGTAAAGTAAGTAAAGGTAAGTAAGTAAAGTAACTAGCGTAAGTAAGTAAGTAAGAAAGTAAGCGAGTAAGTCAGTAAGTAAGTAAGTAAGCAAGTAAGTAAGCAAGTAAGTAAGTAAAGCAAGTAAAGTAAGTAAAATAAGTCAAGTAAGTAAAGTAAGTGAAGTAAGTGAAGTAAGTAAAGTAAGTAAAGTAAGTAAAGTAAGTAAAGTAAAGTAAAGTAAAGTAAGTAAAGTAAGTAAGTAAGAAAGAAAGAAAAAAGTAAAGTAAAGTAAGGACAGTAAGTAAGTAAGTAAGGAAAGTAAGTAAGTAAGGAAAGTAAGTAAGTAAGTAAGTAAGGAAAGTAAGTTAAGTAAGTGAAGTAAGTAAGGAAGTAAGTTAAGTAAGTAAGTAAATGAGTAAGTAAAGCGAGTAAGTAAGTAAGTAAGTAAAGTAAAGTACAGTACAGTACCGTACAGTAAAGTAAAGTAAAGTATGGTAAGTAAAGTAAGTAAAGTAAGGTAAGTAAAGTAAGTAAGTAAGTAAGTAAGTAAGTATGCACGGTAAGGTAAGTAAGGTAAGTAAAGTAAGGTAAGTAAAGTAGGTAAATAAGGAAGTAAGTAAGTAAGTAAATAGGTATGCACGGTAAGGTAAGTAAGGTAAGTAAAGTAAGTAAGTAAGTAAGTAGGTAAGTAAGTAGGTAAGTAAGTAAGTAGGTAAGTAAGTAAGTAGGTAAGTAAGTAAGTAGGTAAGTAAGTAAGTAAGTCAGTGAGGAAGTAAGTAAGTAGTCAGTCAGTCAGTGAGTAAGTAAGTCAGTCAGTCAGTCAGTGAGT